TTATTATCGGGGTGGATTTTTTGGCAGTCCCAGGCTGCATCCCGCACGGGCCTCGCGACGACGGGGGTTCGCCACAGTGGCGCGGTGCGCCGGGATCTTCAGGAGAGAAGAAAAAAGAAACACAGACACCATTAATCGACGAATCCCCAAACAATATGGGAAAATATGGGAAGTTGGGGGGAAGACAATATCAGAACATGTGGGAAAATGTAGGGGATCCTCTTCTTTGTGTGTATCTACTTGTGTGCCCCAGGGCCCCTCGAGATCTGGGAACCCCGGCAGCCCAACGGCCTGCTGCCGCGGCGGGGCGCCGAGCCTCGCGCGCGGCGGGCCTCGCCCGCCGCCGCCGCCGCCGCGGCTCGCCTCTGAGGCCAGCCGCCGCGGCCGCGAGCGTCGGCCGCAGGGGCTCTCCGCGGCCGCGGGGGGCGCTCTCGGGCGTCCGCGCCGCGAGGGCGGCGCGGTCGGCCGCGGCGGCGCCGTGGCCGAGGCTCCTCGGGGGGGCTGCGGCGCGGGCAGCGCCACGGCGCCCGCAGGTGCTGCAGCTGCTGCAGCTGCTGCAGCTGCTGCAGCTCCCTGCGCAGGTCGGCTCGTGCGGAGTTCTGGGTTCGCCAGGCCGTGCCCTGACCCGCCCTGATCGATGCTCCTCAGGACGTGGGTTGGCCCAACGTGTGTTCACTCACCCCGTTCAGCCCAGCCAGCGGAGCATGGCATCGCCTGCGCCGGATCGAAGGGCCTCGATGGACCAACGCACACGCTGGGGCTACCACGCGTTCTGGGGAGCATCGACCACTGCACAGCCTTATCGGGGCAGCTGAGTGCACCGGTCGGCTCGTGCGGATTTCCGGGTCTGCCTGGCGCTTCCCTGACCCGCACCGAGGCCTCACGTCGCCGAGGTGCCGAGCCCCGGGGAGCGCCCTCGATGGGCCTCTGGGCAGGGGGCGGGCACCCGGCCACAGGAGCGGCGGCCTCCTGTGAAGTGTGGCGCAGGAGGCGCGGCCGAGGGCCACGGCAGCGAGTTCTGATGGCGCTGCGTGTCTTTGCTGCGGCAGCGGGCGGGTCTCGGGGCTCGGGCCGGCTGTTCCCCCGTCGGACTCCACTGCGCCACCACTTTTTGTTTTCCCCCACCTGGAGAGTTTGTCCTTTCTCCTGGCGATCACGGGCGTGGCCAGGGCAGGAGTGGGCGGGGACGGGGGGGCGGGCGGGTCACGTCACAATTCGCGCTGTCGCCGTCTGGGAATGCTTAGGAATAGCCAGAGACAGCTCGGATAGAAGATACCTACCGGGATCTGCTACGGCAGAGCGTGCACCAGCCTATGGGGAGGGAGACAGGGCCAGGCTGAAACGTCTTGCTCGATTGCACTTTTTTGTTCTCGGTGCGTGCTTTGGGAGAGGTTGGGCACCCCTGCGCAGGGGGAGGACGTGGCCTCGTCGTCGTCCTCCTCATCCTCCTCTCGCCGTCCTCTCCCTATTCACGTCCCCGGCCTTTCCCCCTGCACTTCTGCGCCTTCGGGAGAGTTGAGCCCACCGGAACGGGACACTTGTCCCGTGTGCTTCTTACTTGGGATACGTGTGCATAGTGGGCGAGAGCTGGATACATGTCTTTCCAGGGCCAGCTGTGGCGCGAGCTGGATACACATGTGGCCGCATGTCTTCCCAGGGTTCGGCCCTCGTGTGGCTAAGCACGCCAGTCTTCCGCACGTGTATCCAGCAACCGGCCTCCAGATGCTCCGCACGTGATTCCAGCCACGTGCTTCCAGTGTCTTGCATTGCTGAAGACGGCTGTAACCCGATCAATTTGAAAAGCGGATGCCGTGCGTGTTTGGTAAGATCGAGTTGGAAAGTTGCCCGCATGGATTCCATGTCCCTGCGCCATTCCGCGCGCACCCAGACCCTGTGGTGCGCCCGAGCGGTTTAGCGCACGCAGATGTTCTTGCGGCACCCGAGGTGTGCGCGCACGCTGTTGTGCACCGAATGAACGAACAATGCACAGGAGCACGAGAAAGAGGATGGGGGACGACGAAGACGACGACGACGACGACGACGACGACGACGACGACGACGCCCCCCCGCGCCCAGGGGCGCTAAAACCTTTCCCAATTCACGAAGCGATTACATGCTTGTAATCAGACGTCGTTATTCGGCCTGCTCGCCTCCCTGGCCCCCTCCCTCCTCCTGGTTCCCTCCTTTATTGTCATGTCCTTGCGCGAAACACCTCGCAATGCAATATGGAGGTTCAAGACGACGAAAGGAAGAGGAGGACCTGGAGGAGGAGGAGGAGGAGGAGGAGGAGGAGGAGGAGGAGGAGGAGGAGGAGGAGGCGGAGGACGACGACGACGGGGGGAAGGAGGAAGGAGTTGAAGGGATGAGAGAGGAACAAGGGGGAGGAAGAGGAGGAGGAGGAGGAGGAGGAGGAGGAGGAGGAGGAGGAGGAGGAGGGAGGGGAGAGGAGAGAGCAAACCATATTCGACGTTCAGCAATCCCATAAACTGCAATGCGGTATCCAAAGCTATCCATCGCAGGTTTACGCACACCAATAGCACGGTGCACGCTTTGCCGTAGTCGATCCCTATAGCCCTACAGGTGTCTGCTATCTGAGTTGTCTGGCCTATTCCTAGGCATTTCCAGACGTCGCCAGCGCGAATCTTGACGTGACCTTTGGCGGGGGCGGCGGTGGGGCCGGTCACAAGCGCCATCGCGACTAATAAGGAAACGGGATCCTGGCCGCGAGGCCAGTCAGGCCCGAGGCTCTGCTTGCGCCGCGGCGGCCTGAGAAGGTTGCGGGATGGGAAAGTGGGACCAATGAGGGAGGAGGGCAAGGATGGGGAATGGGACAATGAGGGACGGAAATGGAATGCGGGAGGGGGAGGCAGAGGACGAGGAGGAGGAGAAGTGGGAGCACAAGGAGGAATGGCGAGAGGAGGGAGGTACCAGCCAGGTGCGCTCGCGCCACATCTGGCATCCTACCCCTCCCTCCCGTCCCTTCCCGTAGCGCTGACTAGTTGCCCTCTCACCGAAAATCGTGTCGCATCTGAGCTTCAAGCCTTGGATGTGGGAGAGAGGGAGGGAGGAGGCGGAGAAGCAGGAGGAGGAGGCGGAGGAGGAGGATGACGACGACCACAGCAGGAGAGGCCAGCAGATGACCCGCGGCGTTTTCTGGATTATTTTCGTGTTTTCAAGGTTATTGTCTGGTCAGTTCTCGTTGTCGTCGTGTTCGTTGACGCCGACGTTCTCGTCGATGGCGACACAGGACTCACCACACGCCGACGACGGCGGGCGCCGACGGACGCCCACAGCACCCGCAGAGGCACCCGCAGAGGGGGGCGGAGCATCGTCCGCACAGGCTCGGGGGTGAGAGGAGAGCAGCACTCAGATCGAGTAGCGGCAGAGGAGGCAGGAATGCGGCGGGCGCCGAGGCGCCGTTCGGCGCCGCCTTTGCGCGGCGCCAGCCTTGAACGGGCAGTTTTTGCGGCGGCGACCGCGTGGCCAGGGTGTCCCGCTGCAGGGGTCGTTCGGCCGTCCGCGCCAGGGCGCCCAACTCCGCAAAAGAAAATGCCCTGGCACGCAAACACCCACATTTTTTGTCGCCCCGAGAGCGCCCCCCTCAGAACGGCCGAGGACGCCCCGAGTGGAAGGCCTCATATAAAGCACCCGCTCGCGGGCATCCTGTGGTTCAAGAGCTGGTGCGCGGCGGGGGGCGCACGGGCTTCGAGGGTGAGAGGAGCAGCACTCGTGCACTGGCGAAGGAGGAGGAGGAGGAGGAGGAGGAGGATGACAATCAGGAGAAGGAGGGCGGAAGGGCGCAGGTCGGCAACCAGACTCTGGAGGGACTCTTCGACACCGGCTCGTTCGAGCTCCTGGTCTTCGGCGAGGGCTGCACGACTTGCGGCTCGTCTGGGGTGTACAAGCACAGCCTGAGCAGCAGCTTCACCGCGGGGGGGCGCAAGGAGTCGAGCAACAAAAACGGCATAAACATGATTTGTCGGAAGTCCGCGCGGACCTCCGAGAACCTATGTTCATGCCGTCTTTTGCTCCCCTGAGGAGACCCACTCCTTCGGCAGCGGCACGTGCTACTCCGACGAGGGCTACGAGACCGTGTCGCTCGGGCCGTTCTCGGTGGAGCCCAGGGCGAAGCAGACGTGCCGATGCCGACCCGGCCTTGCCTCGTCGCCCAAGGCCGGACTCGCCTGGAGATCCTCGTCTAGGATGCGCCCCAGGAGAGGTCCGTGGAGCAGCGGTCCTCCTCCTCTTCCTCCTCCTCCTCCTCCTCTTCCTCCTCCTCCCTCCTCCCTCCTCCTCCTCCCTCCTCCTCCTCCTCCTCCCTCCTCCTCCCTCCTCCTCCTCCTCCTCCTCCTCCTCCTCCTCCTCTCCTCCTCCCTCCTCCCTCCTCCTCTCCTTCTCCCTCCTCCTCCTCCTCCTCCTCCTCCTCCTCCTCCTTCCTTCTCCTCATCCTCCTGCCCCCCCAGGAGCGCCTGCCGTTCTGGGAGGTCGTCAGCGCGCAGATGCCCGTGTTGGACTCGCAGCAGTCGGGCTTCCAGGCCATCGTCGGCATCGGCCCCCCCGGGGAGCCCGCCGCGACGGCGCAGGCCGAGCTCGACGACCTCGCGAAGCGCGAGGAGTGGCACCTCAGGCACGACGGTGCTGTTCCGGAGCAGCTGCAGAGGGAGAAGGATCAGGGGCAACGGCAGCGTTCGTGAAGGGGTAGGCTTGGGGGGGGGACGCATCGACCCTGGATCGCCCACTGATCGCCGACGGGTGCTCGACAGGCCCGCCCCGCCCAGGACCATGCGGATTTGCTATCGGGGGCCTTTCGCTGATCTATTGGCGATGTATAGCCGACTCAAGCTCGATGTTCCCCCCCTCACGGAGGTGGCTCCCCTGGAGGTGGCCCCCCCCCAACGTACGCTGCCTCTCAAAGGAGGACATGCTGCAGAAGCTGGACTCGGAGAAGAAGAAGGTGGCGTTCCTGCAGGCCCTCGGGGTGTCCACCTTCTCCTCGTGCCTGGACCGGATGTCCGGCGGCTCCGGGTGGATGGGGAAAGAAGGACACCTCAATTTCTCCTGGCCCGAAAAGGCTTCGGCTCCCCATTGCAAGGATGTTCCGCAAACAGACGCCCTCGTGGGGGGAGGCAGGGGGAATAGGGTGGTACACGGTGTGGGCGTTTCAAACGGCATTCTTTGTTTGGTAGGGAGATGCAGGATGAGGCTCTAGGGAGAGAGGGTTGAAGGAGAAGATAATCAGGAAGAGTGCCAAAGAAATTGAGAGAATCATACGGGAAAGCGAACATTGGGAAGAAATGCCAACACATATAACGTTTTCGAGGTTCCGTGGTTTTTCCCACCGAGACACCAAACATCAGACAAACAAACATAAACAACGTAAAATCTGAAAACCGGTTAAACAAAGTAAAGCAACCATTGCTTTGTTCAAAAAATATGAAAGTAAGCGAAACCTTGGTGTTGGCTGTTTTCTTTGTTCTGATGATATAGATACAAATGCATGCATGCATATACATACATACATACATACATGCATACATACATACATACATACAGACAGACAGACATACAGACAGACAGACAGACACACACATACATACATACATACATACATACATACATACATACATACATACATACATACAGACAGACAGACAGACAGACAGACAGACAGACAGACAGACAGACAGACAGACAGACAGACAGACAGACAGACATGCATTTGTTTATTTACACACATATATATGTATATTAAAATGTACGATTGAATGGCTAATTTGATGTTTCACTGTGATTTAATTGTTTGAAGGCAGTTCGATAGAATGAAGATGATAATGATTGATGGGAGCTAGAGGATGAGGAGGAGGATGAGGGGGGAGTAGGATGATGAGGCGGGGGATCGGATGAGGATGAGAAGGAGAAGGAGGATGTGATTCATAAGCACCCCCCTCCGCCCACTCAGAATCCCCTTCCAGGACGGACTCAATGAACACCACAAGAAAAAACATGGGTGTAACCAGAATCGCATCACCATCAGCATCATCATCGTACTCATCATCATCGACCTCATCAACATTGTTATCACATCTATCCGATCAGCTTGATCATTTCCGATGTCGGAGGAAAGACAAAAAGTGTATGTACCAGCCTATTCCCCTGCTCTCGAGGGGGAGGGGGTGTCGTTTTATCCCCTAGGTGGATGGTATGGAATGACAACAGCGCGCTGAGAGACCCTCAGAACTTCATGTCGCTCCCCGTGGCAGGCACTCGGAGGAGAAAGAGGGATGCCAATGCCGTTGCTCGTCCTGGACGGCCCCCGTCGCCACGGTTGGATTCGCCTCGGAGTTCTGGTCAGAGCGCACCCCGGAAGAGGTCCCGGGAGTCGCGGTATCAGTACAGTCGGAGCGCTGAAAAAGGAACCCTTATCGTTTGGGAGGGGATCCGTGTTCCTCAGTTGTTTTGCAGTTCGCCTCAGGTTTTCCTCCGGCCTTCGATGGGAAATCGAAGTTTCTAAATGGAAAAATGGGCCTCGCTTCTCACTCAGGTTTCCTTAGGTCAACGCCCCGACGGTACCTTGCTTGTTCCTCCAAGGCACTCTCACCTGGAGCCTGCAGGTTTCGGGGGAGCCGCCGCCCATGCACACAGCCACCAGCCACCCGCCAGGCCCATCCTGTCCCTTGGGCCGGTGTATATACATGCCCGCTTGGCCTGCCTAGGCAAAGAGGGGCGTGCCTATACAGGAGGAACGTTCAAGAAGATTCAAAAAGTAGTCTGGGGGCGATGTTTTCTGAGCATGTGTTGATTATGCTTGAGCATTTTCTTGCATGTCCCATCCTTCGTCCAGAACCCGCCTGTCGGGGGGCGTGCCCGACCCAAACCTGGGCAGAGAGGGATGCGCCTCTGCGCGCCCATGGCCCAGGAGGGGCGTGGCCAGGGCAAGGGCCGCTGGCCGACTGCGCATAGCTGGCGGCTCCCCGAGATCACTGGCATGGGCCTCAAGGGCTTCGGGCCGACCGCGGACAACCCCATCGGCTGCCAGGGCGGGTGCGGGGCGATCGTGGACACCGGCACGTCGCTGCTCGCGGTACCCTCGGACATCTACCAGAGGTCGGCGGCGCGCGCCCAAGAGGGGGTGTGGCGACGGGGGCTGCGGGCTGCTAAGGTGGGGTGGGGGCTCCTAGGAGGCAAGGCCTTCTTAGTCTTACGTCGGGCATGTCCCCCGACACGAGGAGAATCCGAACAGTGTCAAACATGAGTCTGGGGACTATGTTTGGACTATGTTTGGCTACGTTTGAACACGTTTTGACGTTTGGACTTTTATCAGACCTAATCTTCGTCTCAGAAGCCCGACCTAATCTTAGTCTCAGAAGCCTCTGGGTCCCTCGCAGGCCCCTCTGCCATCTTTGAGAAGCCCCCCCCCCCCACCTGTCGTCTCGAGAGTGGCCGCCCCCCTCGCGGTCGCCCCCCCCCTCTTGCGGGCTCGGCCGGCGAGGCTCTACGATCTGATCAAGGGCATGGAGATGGACTGCAACGACCTCCGCAAGTTCCCAGACATCTACATCACGGTCAACGGCCACGAGGTGATCGTTTTCTCATTCGTTGCTTTGCCGATCGGCGTGGGCCCTCGCCCCCCCCCCTCCCCCCCCCATGGAGTAGATCTTGGCTGTTTGGGGCGCCTGTTTCGAGCAGGTGGGGTCTTCCCCATAATCCGCACTGGTGCAAACAGTGGCATGCAGCAGAGGTCCGGAGCCAGACCCCTCCCCTTCCGCTCAATGTCGAAACGCCGAATAAGAAAACGTACACGAGCTGCTGCTGCCGCCGGACAGCTACATCGGGAGGGTGGTCGGTAACGTGCCCAAGTTCATGAAGAAGCACGTGCACGCATCCGCGGACGTCGCCGAATTCTCACAGGACAGGGTGGGGAGGAGTCTGCTGGATTCTGCTGGCCTGACCTCCGAAGTTGCGAATCACGCACAGCGGCGGCGATGGAAGCGCCCCCTACCCCAGGCCGTCCCTGAGCGACAAGGTTCGTCTTTGCACATGTGGGTCTGAAAGGGGCCGATTTCTCGGAAGACTGCTGTGCACGCATGCCCCCTCCTCGCACGATCTGGTCGCATCGCTGCAGCTGTTGCCGCTGCCTGCCTTCTCGCACGAGCTCCCGTTTCCAGAGTGTAGCTAACAGCATTTGGCTCCATCTTCGCCCTCTTCCATCAGGAGGAAGAGGAGGAGCAGGAGGAGGATGAGGAGGAGGAGGAGGAGAGGGAGGAGGAGGAGGAGGAGGGGGAGGAGGAGGAGGAGGAGGACGGGGTTTCGGGCGGGCCTGGCTCTGCTTCACCCACATCCACCCTGGGTCCGCCCTGCGGCAGAGTTCGTGGGACGGGCCTGACTCGGCTTCACCCTTTGCCCTTCTTCACACTTCTCCGCAATGACAGTATGCACTGCAACTGCCTTCCTTCTCGCAATAGCTCTTCCTAGCATTGTAGCTTATGTGTCGCTCACTGCCGCCCTTCACGAACGCCCTTCTCCCAGCGTTGTAGCTGTCACGTCGCTCACTGCCGTCCTTCGCCAATGAATTACTCCCAGCGTTGTAGCTCATGTGCCGCTCACTGCCTGCCTTCTCGCGTGAGCTACTCGCAGCGTTGTAGCCGATGTGTCGCTCACTTCCTGCCCTCGTCCGTGAACTACTCCCAGCGTTGGAGCCGGTATGTCGTTCAGTGCCCGCCTTCCCGCGCGAACCACTCCCAGCATTGTGGCCGATGTGTCGCCCACTGCCCGCGTTCTTGCCTCCTAGCCTTGCAGCTGATGACGTGGGCCCGCGCGGGCTCTGGAGCTCGAGCTGCCGCCCACGGCTCCCTTCCGCACGAATTACTCCCAGCGCTGTAGCTGATCATTCGCTCACTGCCGCCCTTCTCGCACGAACAACTCCCAGCCTTGTACCGCAAATGTCGCCCACTGCGTGCCTGGAGCTCGAGTTTCGCCTCCAGCTCGTCCTCGCACGCACGACTCCCAGCTGACCTTGGCTGCTCACTGCCGCCCGTCCCGCACGAGTGGGTGCCAGCGCTGTAGTTGGCTTGCTCTCGCACAGCTGCGCTGGTCCCAGCGCTGTAACTGAAGACGTTGATCACCAGCGTATCCCTGCACACTGTCCGCGGTCCTCGGCTGAGCATCGGGAGGTGAAAAAGGAGAGGACGAGCCGCCTTCTTGACGGCTCTCTGGCGACTGGGCCCGCGCACGGCCGTTGGTTTCCAGACGCGATACGCGTGCGTGGCTCACAGGGCCATCGTCACTGTCGAGTTTGGTCCATCGGAACACCCTGTTCCCCGCGCAGGGGCCCCAGGGTGGAAAATGGCTGAGGAGGAGGAGGAGGTGGAGGAGGAGGAGGAGGGGGAGGAGGAGGAGGAGGAGGAGGAGGAGGAGGAGGAGGAGAAGGAGGAGGAGGAGGAGAGAGAGAGGAGGAGAGAGGAGGAGGAGAGGAGGAGGCGGAGGGAGGAGAGGAGGAGGAGGAGGGTGAGGAGGAGAGGGAGGAGGAGGAGGAGAGGAGGAGGAGGGAGAGGAGGAGGAGAGAGGGAGGAGAGGGAGGAGGAGAGGAGGAGTAGGAGGAGGAGGAGGAGGAGGAGGAAGGAGGAGGAGGAGGAGGAGGAACACTGCACTCGCATAAGATTCCAGAGTTCGCGTAGATTTCTTGGGTCGGCGCCCTCGCATGGCGCGCGAAGCGCGCCAGGGGCGGCACCCGAGGCGCCGCCAGGGGGTGTCCAGCGCCTACCCTTCGCGCGGACTTCCGACAGTTCGTGCTAGCAGAGTTTTTTTAGTTCTTTGTATTCGCCCGAAGGAGAAGCAGGAGAAATGTGAGGAGAAGAAGGAGCAAGGGCAGAATGAAGAGGAGGGGAAGAGGAGGGGGCGAGAAGGGATAGGAGGAGGAGGCGGAAAGGAGGAGGAGGAGGAGGAGGAGGAGGGTGAGGAGGAAGATAAGGAGGAGACGGAGGAGGAGGCGGAGGAGGGGGAGGACGACGCGCTGAATCCCAACGCGGTGCAGCTGGATCGCTTCCGCGCCAGGCAGCGGGTCCGGAGGCAGAAGTGCCAGCTGCTCCTGATGGACATGGGCAACCAGGTGACGCAGCTAGGCTCGGGTGGGCGGCAGAGCGGGGCGAAAGTCGGAGGAGGAACAGATACCGATTCCGTCGGGCCTCCTGTGGGGGGCCCTCGTCGCCACGGTTGGATTCGCCTCGGACTCCTGGCCAAGAAAGCGTTGAATGCATCCCCAGGAGAGGTCCAGGGGAGTGTGCAGGGCGTGCCCGCGCGGAGCTCCCAGCAGGTTCCTGAGGGCGCAGAGGGGGAACGGCTTGACGCCGGAGTGCGGGCGTTGGCCTCGCTCAGCCGAGGTGCCCCTGGTGCCGACCTGTTGAGCAGTGCTGAGCCTGGAGGAGGCGGCGACGGAACGAGGACAGCGCATTGGGCCGTCTTGGGGCCCTTCGGGCAGTACTGGGGTCTTCTTAGCCAGATGCTCCTGGGACCGACCCAATAAGCCCCTGGTACCGACCTGGTAGTCAGTGCTGGGCCTGGAGGAGGAGGAGACGAAAGGAAAATAGCACATTGGAGAAGTGGCGGGGAGGCCCAGTAGCCCTGTGCTTGCACGAGGGCGCCGGCCGTCACGGTGGACGTTTTACAGCTCCCATTGCCCAAGTGCCAGTGCTGCGACAGTTGATTCAAGCCTGCTGGAGGAAAGCGAGAGAGAGAGAGAGAGAAAAACAAAAAAAACGCTAATAGAGAAAGAGGAAACAAGGATTGGATCGAATAAGATAGGACGAGGATGAGGAACTATGACGTCGAAACTGCCAGGCAAAGCGCTGCGGTCTAGGCCGACCATTACCCTTACGAGATGCCGCTCTAAGGCATGGTAGTATTAGCTGACGACGCTGCCAAGCATGGTGCCGTTGCAGAGGCCGATCCGCTGCCCCTAAGCAGCGCCGCACCAAAGAGAGAAAATGGGCCGGTCAACCGATAAGCATGCGAACGTAGCCACGCACGCGAGGGCTCGCATGCATGCCCATCATGATAGAGCCTGCTGCTACCGCCAGAACTAGTTCGCCATTAGCCGAGTGGTGGCGAGGCCCTCGAGGGGAGGGCTACAGCCAATATGCTGCAGGAAACACCGCTTTCGGCTCAGGAGGGGCCCTCCTCCTCCTCCTCCTCCTCCTCCTCCTCCTCCTCCTCCTCCTCCTCCTCCTCCTCCTCCTCCTCCTCCTCCTCCTCCTCCTCCTCCTCCTCCTCCTCCTCCTCCTCCTCCTCCTCCTCCTCCTCCTCCTCCTCCTCCTCCTCCTCCCCCTCCTCCTGTCTTTTCGGCCGTTCCCTAGATCCAGGCCAGTGAACCTGTTAGTGGCCCAGGCTCGCCGTGGCCAGAAGCGCCCCGTCGTTTCTTCTTCGGCGTGCCGTCTTGTAGCACGACGGCTGCACCACACGGAGAGCGGCCACGCGGGGGCGGGCAGCAGCGCAGGCCGAGTACGCAGGCGTTCGTACTGTCAAGCTCTACCGTTGTTTCTCCTACGGGCGAACGCAGGCTGGCACGGGCGGCCTGCACGTGTCGGCGTGAAGGTCGGAGCACGGATTCGCGAGCACAGAGACCATGCAGAGCGCAGGCAGCATCGATCGCCATGCGCTGAAAGAGGCGCGGCAGCGAGCGGTGAGATGTTAGGGATGCGGCAGTTGCAGCATCTGTGTTGACAAGCCCTGCGTACTACTGCTGCGCCGGAGGCTGAACGATGGCTGACACTGGCGGCCGGCGCATGCGGGCGGGAGGATGGATAACGAATTCGTCAGCACGGAGAGCGGACAGAGCGCAGGCAATAGCGGTTACCATAGAGGCACCCGCGCTAGCGGTAAGACGCCAGGCTGCAGAGCACACAGTTGCAGCAGCATGCCTGCTGTCGTGCCCTGCCGGATGCTTCGCTGGTTTGGGCGAGCGGAGCCCGGCACAGGCGTGGCACAGCAGCCGAAAGCAAATGCGCTCGTGCGTGCAACGGCTGGCGAGCTCAGCTTCCCTTCAGGCATGCCCATCCATGCTGCCCTACTATTTACATCTCGAAGAAGACGAAAACGCCATAACCAGAAGCTCTTGGCGCTCCGCACGGATTTCTTGGGTCCGCGCTGGGCCCCCCGCCCCAAGCGGCGCCTCCGGCGCCGCCCATGGCGCGCTCCGCGCGCAAGGGAGGGAGGGCCAGCGCAGATCCAAGAGATCCGCGCGGAGCGCCAAAAATTTATGCTCATGCCGCTTTGTACTCATTCTACCCATGCTGCCCTGATCTTCGCTGCCAGGAGCGAGCGAGAGCCGCGTGCGAGCGCTCCCATGCCCCCATCGGCTCCAGCGTGCGCGTGCACGCTGCTGGCGTGAGCCGGACGGCAGGTTGAGAGGAGGGGGGCCCTGGGCCGCCAGCTTGATCCGCTGCCACGGGGGTCGGTGAGACCGCGTGACCGGCGGAGGGAGGAAGGCCTACAGTGGAGACCCATGCCAAGAAACACACTGCCTGCCCCCAGGGTGCCCTGGGTTTCTTGGGTTTCGGTACTTTTGCCATGGTGAGCGTGACGTTCCCGCGCCACATATCAATGGACGTCCTGGGGTCGCAGGGCTGGATTTCTTGTGGAAGGTCTCTTGTGGACTGGCCGCCACTGTACTGAGTGCGCAGCTGGGCATACTTGCGCAGGGGAGGTGCCTGCATGCCACTGGTGCCCCTGAGGAAAACTTCCTGAGCCGCAGTCGCTTGCACGGTAGACGCGCGTGGTGAAGGCGCCAGGAGAAAACTCTCGGGCTTGGAAAAGGCAAGAGAGGAAGAAGGCGACGTCTGGGCCACTTGAGGCAGAACCTCCGTCTCCACGACGTCCTTGACCTGGTCTTGGATGTCCTTGCCATCCCAGTGGCCGACGTCCACCGATGGGTCCTGCAGCGCATCACTGGCTCCTTCCTGCATGTCACCACTCCCAGGTTTCAAATACTCAGTCGGCGGGCCTGGCTGGCCACTAGCAGGATCTTGCTGCGCCGTGTATGGGTGCGTGTGCGTGTGCGTGTGTGTGTGTGTGTGGATGTGTGTGAATGTGTGTGTGTGTGTGTGTCCGTGTGTTCGTGTGTGCGTGTGTGCGTGTGTGCGTGTGTGCGTGTGTGCCTGCGTGCGTGTGTGCGTCTGTGCGTGCGTGCGCGTGTGCGTGCGGGCGTACGTGCGTGAGTGCGTGCGTGCCTGCATACCTGCGCGCCTGCCTGCCTGCGTGCCTGCCTGCGTGCCTGACTGCCTGCCTGCCTGTCTGCCTGCGTGCCTGCCTGCCTGCCTGCCTGCCTGCCTGCGTGCCTGCGTGCCTACGTAACTGCGTGCCTGCGTGCCTGCGGGTCTGCGTGCCTGCGTGCCTGCGTGCCTGCGTGCCTGCGCGCGTGCGGGCGGGCTCACGCGGGCGTGCGCCTGCGCGCGTGTGCGTGTGTGCGCGTGAGTGCGCGTGCGCGTGCGCGTGCGCGTGCGCGTGAGTGTGCGTGCGCGTGCGCGTGCGCGTGCGCGTGCGCGTGCGCGTGCGCGTGGGCGCGTGGGCGCGTGGGCGCGTGGGCGCGTGGGCGCGTGAGTGCGCGTGCGCGTGCGCGTGCGCGTGCGCGTGAGTGTGCGTGCGCGTGCGCGTGCGCGTGCGCGTGCGCGTGCGCGCGCGTGTGCGCGTGCGCGTGCGCGTGCGCGTGCGCGTGGGCGCGTGGGCGCGTGGGCGCGTGGGCGCGTGGGCGCGTGGGCGCGTGGGCACGTGGGCGCGTGGGCGCGTGGGCGCGTGGGCGCGTGGGCGCGTGTGCGCGCGTGCGCGCGTGCGCGCGTGCGTGTGCGTGTGTGCTTGTGTGCGTGTGTGCGTGTGTGCGTGTGTGCGTGTGTGCGTGTGTGCGTGTGTGCCGTGTGTGCGTGGGTGGGTGGGTGGGTGCGTGTGAGCGTGTGTGCGTGTGTGCGTGTGTGCGTGTGCGTATGTGTGTATGTGTGTGTGTGTTTGTGTGTAGTGGGTGGGTGGGTGGGTGGGCGGGTGTGTGTGTGCGCGCGCGTGCGCGCGTGCGTGCGTGCGTGTTTGCGCGCGTGCGAGCGTGCGAGCGTGCGTGCGTGCGTGCGTGCGTACCTGTGTGTGTGTGTCTCTGTGTGTGCGTTCGTGCGTGTGTGTGCCTGTGTGTGTGTCCTGACGGGCGTGCCCGAGGAAGGTGGGACGACGCCTTCGGTGGCCCACGACGCGAAGGGCTCGGTGCCAGCGACGGTCCAGCCCGGTCCTCGGCCCGGCGGCACTGCGCCCGGCGAGCGGCGGCTGGCGATGGGGGAAGCCTGCGGCGGCGGCGAGCTTCCGCAGGGGATCCATCCCCAGACATGTGATGTCCAGAGTTCTTCAGTGCGGGGTCGCCGGAAGTCCCGGCCCACTCCCCGGGACCAGCTTTTCCACCTCAGTCGTTATAGAGGCCGAACACGTCCAAGAGCCTCCCGTTCTGATTCTTTCACGACGGGCACGTCTGGGTTGCGCGGCGCGCCCGGTCTGCGGCAAGGCGAGGGGTGGGGAAGCGGCACGGGGAGTCCCGAGGCGGAACGAGAGGGTCCCCAGCGCTGGCTCCCCAAGCTCTCCCTGACGAGCCTGCTCGGGCTGGCGCCAGAGGGGGGAGGAGGGAGAGAAGCAGGTGGATGACAGAGGAGGCATGCGGGGGCATGGAGGGGGGCCGCTGTTCTCTTCGGGCGCGTCTGAATCCTGCCGAGCTTGTGCCAGGGCAGGGAGGAAGGAGGAGGGATGAGAGGTGGGTGCAGGGAGGTGCCAGGGCAGGGAAATGAAGGAAATGGACGAGGAGGAGGGAGGAAGGACGACGGTGGGAGGAGAGAAGAGAGAGGATGGCGAGATGACGAGGAAGGGCTGCGAAGTTCACCGCATGCGGCCGATTTCGGCCCGGCTGTCAGGAGGGCCCCCCGTCTCGACACATTGTGGGCGCGGCCTCGCGAGACTCGGGGCGTTCAGAGCATCGGCCGCGTGCAGCTGATTCGACAATCTCCTCCTCCTCCTCCTCCTGCTCCACCTCCCTCCTCCTCCTCCTCCTCCTCCTCCTCCTCCTCCGTCCTCCTCCTCCTCCTCCTCCTCCTCCTCCTTACCTCCTCCTCCTCCTTCCTCCCTCCTCCTCCTCCTCCCCTCTCCCCTTCTCCTCCTTCCCTCCTCCTCTTCTTCCTCCTCCCTCCTCCCTCCTCCTCCTCCTCCTCCTCCCTCTCCCCAATCCTCCCTCCTCGCCCTCCTCCTCCTCCTCTCCTCCTCCTACCTCCTCTCCTCTCCTTCTCATCCTACTCCGCCTCCCCCCTTCCCTCTCCTCCTTATCCGTATCCTTATCCTTGTCCTCCTCATCCTCCTCTTCCTCCTCCTCCTCCTCCTCCTCCTCCTCCTCCTCCTCCTCCTCCTCCTCCTCGGGCGGTGTTCGATCGGGTCTGGCATGTTTCCGAGCGGTTGTTCGGGAATATCCGAAAACATGTTACCATACGTTGCTAGTTGTTTCCGAAGTCTTCAAGCAGCTTCACAGCATGCTTGGAGGTGTCCGGAGAAGGAGGCGGAGGAGGAGGAGGAGGAAAAAGAGGGGCCGCAGCCCTCTCTCCCCTCCTTCGGTTCCCCCGTCTAGGCCCCCTCATGATCCTGGGGATGCCCTTCTTCCGCGAGTACTACACCTCCTTCAACCTGACGGACCGTTCCATCAGAGTGGCCCCCGCGGACGACCAGTGCAGGCCGCAAGGAGCGGTCACCGGGAAATGGGAAGTACAGCCAAGGCGCTGAAATGAGGACCACTCTGTCCTCAGACAGGGCTCTTCTTCGGTCGCAAATCATGGGAGCCTGGTGTACCCCCTTAATTCCGTCTTTAGCGTCGGCTAGCGTCTGAGAGTCGATGAGATATGCCGATTGCGAAGGCCTTACGGCCGGTGCCGCCGACCCTGAAGACGACGAAGATGAAAACGAGCGTGGGGGGGTAGGAGGCGCAGGAGGAGGAGGAGGAGAAGGAGGAGGAGGAGGAGGAGGGGGGGGGTAAGAGGAAGGATGGAGGAGGCGGATGAGGGAGGAGGATGGGGGGGGGAGGATGAGGAGGAGGAGCAGGAGAAGGAGGAGGAGAGGAGGATGGAGGAGGAGGAGGAGGGGGGGGAGCAGGGGAGGTTGGGGAGGAGGAGAGGAGTAGGAGGAGGAGGAGGAGGAGGAGGAGGAGGAGGAGGAGGAGGAGGAGGAGGAGAGGGAGAAGGCCTCTCTGGGCCTTCTTGAGAGTCCTTTTGGCACTCTTTTGACCCGTCTGGGGGCCCTTTTTGGCCGTCCTTACGGGTTCTTGGGCTGTCTTGTGGGGCTGGGGCCGTCTAGGGGCGCTCTTGCGGATCCGTCGTGGCGACCCCCCTCCTCCAGCGCATCTACAGAGGGCCCCATCTGTAAAAGCCGCAAACGGGGGATGCGTATCTGGGTGACGACCCCCCCCCGGGACCCCCCCCCGGGACCCCCCCCGGGACCCGGGACCCCCCCCCCGGGCGGGGAAGGGGTCAAAGGAAAGGGCTTTTCCCTTCGACGCATTTACGACGTTGCTCATTTTCGTTTTGGTTGGCGCGCTTGAGGAGGAGGGGGAGGGCTCAGGGAAAGGGCGGGTAGCGCCACACGCCGACAGGGTCGGCGGATTTAGCGTCGGCCAGCGTCGATTAGCGTCGATGTGGCGTCGATTTAGCGTCGGTTAGCGTCGACTGGCGTCGATGAGTGTCGATTCGCAAGAGCCGACAAGATATGGGAGGCTCCCGCGAGTTGCCACCGAGCTCTTGTTCCTGAGTGGCCCCACAGGTCCGGGTCGGAGAACCAGTTGTCGTGGCCGAGGTTCGCCAGGCGGCCAGAAAAGCCCCTTCGCTCCTCATGCACAGATCCTCATGGCAGCGCGATGGCTGTACACGCCTCCACCGCCCAGGCTCCACGGCAGGCCCATTTGTGAACGAGAGTATTATGGAGATATGCCCCCGGGCTTGGCCATGGTGCAACATCCCCCAAGACTTTCGGGCCCCCCCGAAACGGTCATGTGGCCGCACCGTGTGGTGAGCTAGCGGGTATTCGGTGTGACCGCGCGGTTTCGGGACTCGGGTCGTTCTCCGAGGGTGTCTCGGGCGACGGGGGCCTCTCAGGTCCCATGACCGTGCGGTGACGGACCGTGCGGTGAGGTCTCTTGGGGGGTTCAGGGGTCACCGCACAGTCTGTGACCGCATCGTTTCGGAACCCCCAAGAGTTGGGTAACCCTGGGCTTTGGAGGCGTGGTGGCTTGGGCCATCCTCCTTCTCAGGTCACCTCGCTCATGGTGACCCGCTCGCACGTGCCGAGGAAGGTCGACGTCGCCACGCTGCGCCCGCCGCGCTGGCTGTCTCGCAACGACACGGTGGTGCTGACGATTTGAGTCGAGCCCAGGCCCATTGGCGTCGAATTCCTGCCTGGCACGGTGTGTTCCCCATCCTCCTCTCCCCTTCCCTCCTCGCTCCTCCTCGCTCCTCCTCACTCATCCCCGCTCCTCCTCGCCCCTTCTCGCTCATCCTCACTCCTCTCCCCCTCTCTTGTGCATGCACTGATCCCTCCCTCCCCGCCGCAGACGGTGGTCAAAGGGCCCAGTCCTGCGGGCAGCGTGACGCGAGCCGCCTCCCGCCGCGGAGGAGCCGGTGTTCCGGCTTAGCAGCGCTCGCGGATCGCCGCGGCCCTCTTTGCATCCTGTGTCCAGCCTCGGTAGCGTCGCGCCTCGAGCGAGCGCGGTTCGTCGGATCGCGAGCTGGTTGCGGCTTGCAGCGAGTCCGAGGCCCCCTCCCGAGTGGGGCAGTGCGGGGCAGAAGGCGCGAGGAGGGGAGGCGAAGGCGCGGATGGGATGGCGGCAGGGAGGAGGAGGAGGAGGAGGAGGAGGAGGAGGAGGAGGAGGACGACGACGACGAGGACGAGGACGAGGCGGAGGAGGAGAAGAATGAGGCGGAGAAGCAGGAGGAGGAGGAGGACGAGGAGGAGGACGAGGGAGAGGACGAGGGCTTTTCGCTCCCCTGGTGGAACCAGTCCGCATCCTGAGTCCTGAGGACCCCGACATCCGACGCTGCGAAAGACATGCGACACCTCGAAAAAGTCACCGCCAGAGCCCTTGGCCCAAACTTCCTGCCGCGCTCTTCGAGCCGCATCGATCCGTGAGGGTCCCGGGGCCCGAAAGAAGGCAAAATCGCCCGTTGCGAACGCAATGCGACCTAGTCGTCCTAGTCGTGAGCGAGGTCGGATGCGAGCTCAAGCCCAACATCGCGGGGTTCGCCTGGCAGCAGATCCGACCTGTCCGCTCCGCCTTCCATGCAGAGGTTAGTTCACTGGCTTGGGCTATACGGAGTGCACAGCATCATTGTTCGCTAAGGCGAGAGCACACGAGCGACAGAGACGTGAGTCGTAGGTGCTTGCCATGTCAACCCGAGCAGTGGCGCAATACGCAGAGAGGATCTCGAGGGAGGATGGGGGAGGAGCAGGACCCCGCCGGTGGCGCTGGCGCCGCCGCACCTCGTGGGCCCTGAGCCCGCCGCGCGCGCGCCCGGCGCGCCGGCCACGCGCGGCTGGGGCGCGCTCGGCGGTGCAGTCCTGCGAGCAGAGGGCGCTCGCCCCTGGGTCTCGGGGCCTCCTTCTGCTCCCACCTCCCTCCCTTCCTCCCCCTCGTCCTCCCCTCCCCTCCTCCTCCCCTTCCTCCTCCCCCTCCTCTCCTCCTCCTCCTCCTCCTCCTCCTCCTCCTCCTCCTCCTCCTCCTCCTCCTCCTCCTCCTCCTCCTCCTCTCCCTCCTCCTCTTACTACTCCTACTCCTACTCCCTCTTCCCTGGGATGTTTTCCTGGTGGTCTGATGGCTGGTGTTACTCCGCAGGGTGCGCCCCACCAAGTTCCTGCTGATGATCCAGCTGGCGCGCCTGCTGCAGACGATGCAACGGTTCCACCTCTGGGTGAAGATGATGGCGCGCCTGTCGACGATACCGCCTTTCCAGACTTCTCTGGCGCGGGTGGTCTGCCACCTTCTCACAAAGATACCTTCAACATGCTGATGGTGGCGGTGCTGGCGGACCCTGACAGCGACTCTCCACCAGTGGATCTGCTGTACATGCACGCGGAGCTCCTGAGGGCAGATCGGCAGCACTGGTGTGATCACGTCGCTGGCAGACATCATGGACATGCACGCTGAGATTTTAGAGCAGGCTGATGCTGAGGACCACGGGCTAGAGACGGCTGCATCCGAGGAGGACGAGGACGGCCACTTCATGGAGGCGTTCGCGGGCGCTACTCTTCCCGTTGCCGAGGAGTCTTGCTCGTCCACCAGTAGTTCAAGTGGACGACACGGGTCAGGTGGCGGTTAGCTTGAGTTCCACGGACATTGCAGGTCACGCCTGGGGTTTGGCTGTCGCCGTCACCGACTCACGGGCGACGATCCACCAGTGATTCAAGTGGACGACACGGGTCAGGTGGCGGTTAGCTTGAGTTCCACGGACATTGCAGGTCACGCCTGGGGTTTGGCTGTCGCCGTCACCGACTCACGGGCGACGATCCACCAGTGATTCAAGTGGACGACACGGGTCAGGTGGCGGTTGGCTTGAGCTCCACGGACATTGCAGGTCACGCCTGGGGTTTGGCTGTCGCCGTCACCGACCCACGGGCGACGATCCACCAGTGATTCAAGTGGACGACACGGGTCAGGTGGCGGTTGGCTTGAGTTCCACGGACATTGCAGGTCACGCCTGGGGTTTGGCTGTCGCCGTCACCGACTCACGGGCGACGATCCACCAGTGATTCAAGTGGACGACACGGGTCAGGTGGCGGTTGGCTTGAGCTCCACGGACATTGCAGGTCACGCCTGGGGTTTGGCTGTCGCCGTCACCGACCCACGGGCGACGATCCACCAGTGATTCAAGTGGACGACTCGGGTCAGGTGGCGGTTAGCTTGAGTTCCACGGACATTGCAGGTCACGCCTGGGGTTTGGCTGTCGCCGTCACCGACTCACGGCCGACGCCTTCCCTGCCGACTTCATCTGCGAAGACCAGGCCCCGCCGCCCGGCGGCACCGAATGAGGCGCGGAGGCCAAAAGTGGTCCTGCGATCGGTGCTCCGCTTTCGCGGCCCCCGCCAAAGGTGCTGTGAGACCACGGCGGGGAACTTGTCGGGTTGCCGAGGCGGCGGCCCTCTGGGTCCTGGAGGGTGTTTCGCCGGAGGCTTCCCTCGCGGCTGCGTCTGGCGCCGAGGTCGCGGGTGTCTCGGGGACGCTCGAGGGAGCCGAGGGCCCCTCCGAGGCCAGTGCGTCGGCTGGCCCTGCTAGGGGCCACTGCCGATGGGGAGGAGCCGCCGCTCTCGGCAACAGAGGGCCTTGAGCGGTCTCTGGCGTTGAAGCGGGCGCGGTTCAGGACGGAGGAGGAGCACCGGGACGCGGACCTTGCGGAGGTGGCGGGCACGCTGGCCAAGGCCGCTCGCCCCCGAGGCTCCGAGGAGCCCATGCCCCCCGCCCCCCTGCCCCCCATGCGCGCACCAGGTCGGGGGGGGGGGGGCCGTCATCGAGGACTGGCCCTCTGGAGGGCCGCGCCCGAAGGCCCCATCGGCTCCTGGCCCCGTCGCGTGCTCGTCCTTTTCCTGCTCGTTCTCAGTCTGTGCCGCTGCTCTCGGCACTCGTTTCGATCTGGTGGCGCCTCCTCCTCCTCCTCCTCCTCCTCCTCCTCCTCCTCCTCCTCCTCCTCCTCATACTCTCGAGCACTTCGTAGCCATTCGGCTCAAGGCTTCGCTGCCCCCGCGGTCCCGGCTTGTTTCGGCGTTTCCCTCGTGTCCGACCCTTCTCTCGCCATCCTTGCCGACTTCTCTTCCCGTGCGTTGAAGATCTTCTCGGCTTACCACCGCAGGCCCATGAACACTGTACGCGATGGCTTGCTCGGTGCACGAGCCGTGACGACACGCAATCTGGCCAATAAGATCCAGAAGTTGAACCTTGCCTACGCCGTCGTGCGCCACTTGAGCCAGGAGTATGCCGATGGTCTTCTTCATCAACTTGAGTCTGAGCTGCGCGTGTGCCCAGTCTCGCAGTGCGACGAGGTGGTGGCTCACAACACCTTCATCGAGGTCCGGGAGTCCCCCGCACCTGTCGTGCAGCGGCCCTACTCAGCGCCTCCATCCTACACGTTCGACCTCATGTTTGTGCCATCTGGTGCCCCCGAGTCGTTCCAGCTCGACAGCTCCGATGAGTCCAATGGGGCCTACACACCGGGTATCGTGGACGCGGGCACGCATATCTTGGACGAGCTCGTCCGCGAGAGCGCCCTCAGGATCGAAACGGGCCTTTCCAATGCAGAATGGTGTGAGGCTCTTGCCGCAGAGGTTGCACTGGACGATTTCAGTGTGTCCGAGTTGGTTGAGCATTTCAATTTCGACGTTGACATGGGAGATACCACGATTTCGACCACCCGGTATCTAGAGGAGTATTTCGAGCACGTCTCGATTATATTGGCAGAGTTCCGGAGTCTGGCCCGCATGGCCGACGATACCATCGCTTTCGCTCAGGCAGCTTACCCCGACGACGACCCTCACGAAGCATTATTTCATGGTGGTGTTGTTCTGTATTCGGATGTGCTGGACAGCCGCGACGACGACATCGAGGTGCCCTGAGCCTCCTGGGTGCTTTCAGGCACCCCATTGCCCCTCCCTGGCTCCCCCTCTCGGCTCCGCGTTTTGGGTTCGCTTTCGTTGGCTGCTGTTTTCTTCGCTTTCGCTTCCCTGACTACGCGTAGTCTTCCTTTGTGGTGTTTCCCGATGCTGGCGCAACACTATGGCATTCACACTTGTACGATACTCTTTCTGTAGTATCTGCTCCTTTCAGTGGAGGGATCGGCGCGCCTCCAGGGGTGGGACTCCTCATACTCTCGAGTGCAAAAAATATTGCAGGCCATCCGGATGCTCTACAAAATTTGCCAGATCCAGTGCATGTTCCGTGGTGTCAGGGGGGGGTCTTCCCCGGTCCTCCGCAAGATTAACCAGGGCTGCCCGCTTTGTGGAACTGTGTACGCGCTGACAGTCGACCCCGTCCTCAGGATGCTAGGGAGCAGGTGTTCAAGTAATTTAGGTATTCCAGCTGCGTTCGCTGGCGACCTGGGCATTGGCACGGCCGATGTCGTCGAAGCGCCCGCGCATGTTCTCCCAGTGTTCCTGCTTGCCGAACGAGTCGCGGGGCTCAGTTTAACCATGCCGAAGTGCGTGGTCGTTGCCGTTAGGGGGCCTCTCCCGTTAGTTTGATGCCAGGCTGTTCCAGCACGGCGTCGTGCTTCCAGATCTCGTAATGTAGGAGAGTGGGAAGTATCTGAGATTTTGGGTGGGGAAAGATTGGGATATCAAGGGTTGGCAGAGTCCTGCGAACAAAGCATGCCGATATGCTCGATAATGTAAAGCGTTGAAGATTGATGTTTTCACAACTGCACTGAGATATTATGTTTTCGCGCTATCCTGCCTGAATCATTTTGCCCGGTTCTTCTGCCCGCCCTCCTACGTTTGAAGCAAGAGTACCGAGCATGGCAGTTTCTCACATTTGCCCCGAGGAACGCCCTGTCCTGCGAGCTCGTGTATGATCCTCGGAATGCTAGAGTGGATGGATGGTCGTGCCCGTCACCTGTACTGCATGGCGAGAGCCACAATGTATAGAACCGCTCTCCAATCGAAAGCCTCCGATGACATATGCAACTTGACCGACGAAAAGGGCAGAATCTATGATAATCGCATGGAGGAGGAACCCGCGGCGAAGCATACAATGTACTACCATATCACGGGAATGTGGAACCGTTCCAGTCCCTCGCTCTGGTCCCAGAGTTCGGAGCGAGCAGGTTCCAAGGGAGGGTGAAACTCTTCCTGCGCCGAGAATGTGCCCATGATGCATGGTGAGTGTTCGTGAATCGTGCTCTCCCCACTGACATCCAGAAGTGACGCCCGTAAGGTATCACTGGGGGATGACCAGATTCTCCATTATGTTTCCTGTCCTGCTTGTTTGCCTCTTCTCCGCCTGCTCCCCTGCCTCCCTCCCGCGTTTCTGTCTGCCTCGGGCTTTGCTCGAGCCGCCCTCTTCCCTTGTCTGCCATGCTCTGGAGCTCAGCTCGCGTCCACCGCTGTGCATCTGGATATTGCGTGCAAGCTGCATTACTCGCACCGCCACAAGGGAGGTCTGGCATGCGGGCAGATCCTCAAGGGAGGTTCCACGAGACTCGTTCAAGTGCAGCGATGCCTCCCAGGCCTGGCCGCCCTGATCAGAGGATGATGGAGGATAATGCGTGCCCTCGTTTTGTTACTGCTTTTGTCCGCCTGCCCTCTCCTATTTCGGCCACGTGCGTTCCTCCTCCTCCTCCTCCTCCTCCTCCTCTTCCCCCTCGCTTCCCCTTCCCCATCTACCCCTCCTCACCCTCTCCGTCGTCCCCTCCTCCTCCTCCTCCTTCTCGTGTTACTCCTCCTCCTTCTCCTCATCCCCGTCCTCCTCCTCCTCCTCCTCCTCCTCCTCCTCCTCCTCCTCCTCCTCCTCCTCCTCCTCCTCATCCTCCCCGTCCCCCTCCTCCTCGTCCTCCTCCACCTCGTGGGCTCTTGGCCCCCCTGGACCTCTGGCCACTCGTCTTCCTCGCGTTTTTGTTTCCCAAGGGGCAGCGCTAGGAGGGAATAGGCTGAGGTAAAACGCTTGGGGGGGGATCGGTGCAGGGTGGAATAATTCTTCAGACGTCTTCGTCGGTTCTCGGTAGTTTTCCAGACTCGGGGGCGCTCTACAGCAGCCGCGCCCCGCCGATGGCGTTCCGGGGGGAGGCCTGGAATGCGCCGAACGGCCGCCAGAGAGCCGAGGTATGCCCCGAAGACCGGGGGGCAACATTAGGAAAGATAGGCTCGGGGGGGATTCATCGACCCCCAGTCGCCCAATGGTCGCCGATATGGGGCCTGTAGCCCACCACGCCCAGGAACGCGCGGGTTCGCTGCGGGGGCCTGTTCGCCGATCTATTGGCGGCCGATGCCAGGCCGAGGTTTCCTCGGCTGGACCTCTGGCCCTACATGGGTCACCTTGCTTTTCGATTGTAAAAACTTGTTCGGCTGTGTATATATATACACATATGTATATATATGTATATATATATATGTATATATATATATAACTTAGGAAGGGAGGGGGAGGAGGAGGAGGAGGAGGAGGAGGCGGAGGAGAAGGAGGATGAGAAAGAGGAGGAAGAGAAGGAGGAGGAAGAGGAGGAAGAAGAGGAGGAGGAGGAGGAGGAAGAGGGATGTGAGGAGGAGGGTCAGGAGCAGGAGGAGGACGAAGAGGGGGCCGAAGTTCAGCACGTGTTGAGAACAACGCATTCGCAAAACTCCCCCAAACAGAAAACGTGGGACGCAACGTCGTCCGATTGACTATCTTCAACGACCCAGAGGCAGGATGATCCCTTCCTGGCCCCTAGTCCTCGTGTTTTGGCCCTTTGGCGGGTGCTCTCGTCATCGTGGCCGAGAGCGGTTCTGCAAACTGGCCCGCGCCGACCCCTGGGGGGGGCTTGGGGGCGAGCTTCCAGACGGGGTTGCTGGGCCGCGCGCGGCTCTTCGGCTGGGCCTCCATGCGAGCAGAGAACGGCGGCCCCGCCCGAACCCCGAGGAGCGAGGATCGAGGGATGATTGATGCTTACCCTCGTTTGGCTGGTTACGGCTTGTGGGGCAGGGGTCTCATTACGCACGCGCCGCGTGCGATCGCGAGGTGACGGGGGGGAGAACGGGGAGCCTTCCTATCGGCATTTTCGTGAGAGGGTAAGTAGGGGAGTGAAGGGGACAAGTTCATTAACATAACATTCTTACCAGCCCCAGAGTTATCCAGTCGAACAAAGAAGATTGATGGTCGAGGTCCTGGGCTTCTCTTGGCCTATTTCAGCCATCCTCGCGAGCGCGGGCGAGTCCTCCCCGAGAGCCGGGCCAGAGCGCAACCCCGGACAGGTCTGGCGGTCGGCCGTGGGGCCCTGCTTCCCAGACCCCGGGGCCACGGCAGGATCGGCGCGGCCGGTCTTTACGCCATGTACTTCTCCGGAGGCCCATTTGCGCCCCAGTTAGTTCCTCCCTCCTCCTCCCTCCTCCTCCTCCTCCTCCCTGCTCCCTCCTCCTCCTTCCTCCCTCCTCCCTCCTCCCTCCTCCCCTCCTCCTCCCTCCTCCCTCCTTCCTCCTCCTCCTCCTCCTCCTCCTCCTCCTCCTCCTCCTCCTCCTCCTCTCTCCTCCTCCTCCCTTCCTCCCCTCCTCCTCCTCCTCCTCCTCCTCCTCCTCCTCCTCCTCACCCTCCTCCTCCTCCTCCTCCTCCTCCTCCTCCTCCTCCTCCTCCCCCTCCCCCTCCTCCCCCTCCTCTTCTCCAGAGGCCCATTCGCGCCCGAGTTGGCTCCTCCATGGGCCCCTCTCGGGCCCAGCTGGCCCTCTGGAGGTCATTTCTGCGCTCCCAGGGGTTCAATTCTCGAGCCTGCGACAGAAAAATCCGCGACGAGCAGGCCGTCCCTGGAAGTGACTGAGAAGTCCGAAGGCCCACTGGATTTCATTCTTGACGCACTTTCACCTCTCCTCAGACGGCCTCGCATCCTCTTCCTCCCGTCCTCGTCGTTATTTCCTACCGAGGAGTACCCCCAGTCTGCCATCTAGCTGACCAGAGGCGAACCGAACCGGGTGGTCCCATATAAAATCAGCGCTTTCGTCTCAGGATGAGCATCATGTCACCCATGTTGCAAAGTGCGTGACAGGAGCGGGACGGAGCGCGCATCTCGCGCGAAACGCCGAAATATCGCTCTCGCCTCGGCGCCGCGCGCTTTTATCTACAGAATTGAGTTCCCGCTTGGGCGCGGCGCACACTTTTCGGACGCATTTTCGTCGCCGCGCGAGCCTGCGAAATTGTCGCTCTTGCCCCGGCTCCGCGCAGATGTCGCATGAAAGTGGCGTTCCCGCTTCGACTCGGCGCACATGTTTCACTAGCCAGCTTTTGGGGCGGGGGGGCCCGGCGAGCTTTTCTCAGCCTCCCACTCCTCGGAGCGGAGCGACACGCTATCCGCTTGCAGGCGTGTCGCCGGGGCCGCCGCCGCGACACGCCCGAAGCGAAGCCAAGGTACCCGACCGCAGTGCCCAGACCCCCGACGTCATGATTTTTGTCAAAACGTCGATCCCCAGAGTTCTCGACCCATATCCCCAGGACCGGCCTCTCACCCTGAATCGCTTTCGGACGGCCCCGAGGCCGGGTGAGGCCCCCCTGGAGGCGGCAAGTGTGGGAAACCCCCCCGCCGTGACTTGTCCCTTGCCCGAGGGGCTCTGGGTGCTCCTCGGGCGCTCCGCGTGCGAGCCTCCGCCGCCACCGCGCTCGCGGGCGCGGGAGGAGGAGGAGGAGGAGGAGGAGGAGGAGGGGAGGAGGAGGAGGAGGAGGAGGAGGAGGAGGAGGAGAAGAGGAGGAGGAGGAGGGGGAGGAGGAGGAGGAGGAGGGGAGGAGAGGAGGGAGGAGGAGGAGGAGGAGGAGGAGGAGGAGGAGGAGGAGGAGGAGGAGCCTCTGGGGCCCGAGGGCCGAGGTGGGGCGGCGGCGGCCCCTGCGGCCGCCCGCAGCGGCCCAGGGGCCCCGGCGTGGCGCGGCAGGCCCCGGGGCACCTCGGGCAGGGCCCCCCTCGCAGGCCTATAGAGGTGGGCACCGACACCAAAAGGTCGGCGGTGCGCCTCCACCGAGGGAGGGCGATCCCGATCTCGGTGGCGGTGGCAGTATTCTGGCCTCCCAGGTGGCCGGAATGCTACCACCAACGCCGAGAACTGGGATCGTCTCCCCCTGGTGGAGGCAGACCCCTGTGTTGGTGTTGGTGCCCATTTCCAGGCCTCCAACTGCCGCCCGCGCCATGCAGCCCGGGCTGTTTCGGCAGCGGCTGCTGGAGCTCGCCGCGGAGTACGAGGGCCTGCACGCAGGCCGCGGGACGCCAGCACCCCGCCCGGACCTCTGCGCGCGGCGACGAGCTCGCCACGGAAGGCTTTTGGCCGTGCTTTGGACTCCTGCAGGGGCCCTTGCTGGGCCCCCAGGGGCCGTCAAAACGACGACTCGGGACGGAAAGCCGGTCTCCGGAGAGGGACTTCCGGGGGGGCACGTTGTGAAAACAGCACGACATCAGGTGTCTGGCTACAGCAGGCTCGCGCCGCGTTGATGCAGCGGCGACCGCAACGCGGGCCTGAGGACGCCGCTGTTGGCGCGGAAACGGCCGACGTCGACCCATCTGCGTTATCGCGAAGCTGCGATCGTGTGAGGTGGAACGGCCACCCGCGGGGTCAGACGTCAACGCGGGGTCGTCATCGGGGCGTGGGCCTGCCGCACTCAGAACCCCGGCGGCCCGAGCGCCGGCCTCGCCCGTGAGGCCGTCTCGTCGAGCTGGGGCCGACGACTCTATAGGCCTCCCAGATGGGGTCGGAGTTGACAGGGCCGCGGGATCGCGCCGCAACGCCGATGCACCGGCGATGCATCGGCGATACGGCCCGATGCGGAGCCCGATTTTCTCCGCGCCGACGGCGCCGACGCATCGCCGACGTCGCCAATGCATCGCCGATGCATCGGCAACGCATCGGCGATGAGGCGCAATCCTTCCACCCCATCCGCTTGGACCCCATCTGGGAGTCCTTCCGTGGCACGAAGAGAGCATGGGAGCTGGAGATTAGGGAACTCAGACATGCGACGTCCAGATTGTTGTTCAATACGGCGTCCCTGGAAGTCCCGACCCTTTTCCCCGGGACCAGGTTTTCATCTTGAGTCGTTTTTTGACCGCCCTGGGGCCCGGCGAGGGCCCCCAGAGGCCGAAGACGAGGAAAAAACCTCCGTCACGATGTGTTTCTAAAGACGCGACACTGTCTGGACGCTGCTTTGTCGCCGTGGCTTCCTCCCTCCTCCCTCCCCCCTCCCGTCCGCATCCTAGGGGCACCATTATCTGGGCCCCGAGGCGGCTGTGTAGCGGTGCCGCTCGGCTTTATACAACTGTTGCACCGCCGGGCCGGTCGCGGCAGTCTGTTGTCTCTCTCTTCTGTGCGTTTCCTCTTGTGCGTTTCATTGTGACCTGGCACGGTGTTCACATCTTGCCCTCGCCCCCCCCCCCCCCCCAAAAAAAAAAGTGTCTGAGAACATACCAGAGCGTATAGGTAATCTTAAGTCGGGCGCGTCCCTCCACAGGAGGAATCTTCCCAAATAGTCGAAACATTGTCAGGGGACGATTTCTTTTGACTATTCTGGATACTTTTGAACTGTTTCTTTTGGACTGTTTGGAAAATTCGGCCGAACGAAAGGGAGGGATAGGGAAAGGGGGGGTTACGAAATCTGCTGCATTCAGCTGGTTTCGGCCCCGCCGCTCGATACATCGGCGCCTCCCGGCGCCGGGAGGCGCCGGGAAGATCAGCTACGTGAGCTGATTCTCAACCCCCCCCTTTGCTATCCCCCCCTTGCGCCCGGCCCGAAATTTGTCGTCCAAGACCCTTCGCGCGTCCCTCCACAGGAGGAGTCTTCCAGAACAGTCGAAACATTGTCAGGGGGCTATTTCTTTTGACTGTTTTAGATACTTTTGAACTTTTTCTCTTGGACTGTTTGTACACGCCGGTCGTTGAAAGTAGGTATTTTTGGATTCCCAGATCCCAATCTACTTCAAGTGCCTTCCTACTTCAAGAATCGGCATGATTTTGCTGTGTTTTGTGGTTCTCTGGGAGGGCCTGGACCCAATCCACTTTATCCGCCTTCCTACTTCATGTTTCTACCCACTTCTTCCGACCGACGTGTAATTTGTCGTCAAAGATCCGCCTGTAGGAGGACATGCCCAGCCCCGGGGCCCAGGTGCGCCGCCCGGGCCACGAGCCCGAGAGGCGGGCGCGCGCACCAGCCTCGAGGGGCCGAGGGGGGGGGCTCCTCCTCCTCCTCCTCCTCCTCCTCCTCCTCCTCCTCCTCCTCCTCCTCCTCCTCCTCTCCTCCTCCTCCTCCTCCTCCTCCTCCTCCTCCTCCTCCTCCTCCTCCTCCTCCTCCTCCTCCTCCTCCTCCTCCTCCTCCTCCTCCTCCTCCTCCTCCTCCTCCTCCTCTCCTCCTCCTCCTCCTCCTCCTCCCCTCCTCCTCCTCCTCCTCCTCCTCCTCCTCCTCCTCCTCCTCCTCCTCCTCCTCCTCCTCCTCCTCCTCCTCCTCCTCCTCTCCCTCCTCCGTTTCCGGCCTCCGGGGGCCCTTAACCGGGTCCCAGGACCGTGACGAAGGACTAGAAGGATGAAAAGCCGCTCCCGGGGAAAGGGTTGGGACTCCTGGGGAGCCCGCGCGGAAGAAGTCAGGACATCGCATGTCCAGGGCTGTGCAGTTGGCTTCCTCTTGCACAGGGGCTACTCGGGAGGCCCCTCCAGGCTGCCTCAGCGCCCGCAGCGAGCAGCCGCCGGGCGAGTTCGACGGACTGCACCGCCTCCTGCGCGACCGCGTGACACCCCTCGCGCCGGACCCGATCCCCAAGGCGCTGGAGGCACCGGCCGAGCCCACCAACGGCGCTGCGCCGGGCGGCCCCGGCGGCAGCGGCGGGAGCGCCGGGAGCTCAGGCAGCCGCGCGAGCAGCACGGTGCCCGAGGCGCAGGAGGCTCCGGGGGCGGCTGCCGCGGACCTGGCCGGCGGCGGTGCGCCGACCGACCCCGGCGGCAGTGGCGCGGGCGGCCGGCAATCGGACAGGATCAAGCGGTGGCGAAGCGTCCTGGCGTGCCTATAGTCCTACCAAGCAATGTTCTGAGAACCTTGTGTGGTTCCCACGAAGTGTCCTCAGAACATTTCTGGCCGGGGCTGTCTTGTTGGATCACGTCGGGCCTACGTTCTAAGAGCATGGCTCCTGTTCTCAGAGCATGTTTGGGGCTCTGGGAGAACATGTCGTGGTAGGACTACAGGGATGCCGGGACGGTCGGGCCCTGCTCCACAGGAGCGTGCTGAACCTGGTGCTGGACCGGCCTCCCTCCTGCGGGAGCGAGTGCAGCCCCGAGGGGCGCTGGACTCCGGGCTGGTCTCCAACGGCCGCCTCCAGAGGAGAGACGGCCGCCTCCGGGGGAGAGCGGAGCGGTGATGGGGCCAGGCGGGGCGATTCGTCGGGGTTCGAGGTTGAGCTCAGCAGAGCGGTGAGCTCCATTAGGAGATCAAATCGAGCCAGGACGTCAGCCTCGGAGAGGACCAGGCTGCAGGCTACGAGCGCCGTCACCCGGTTCGTGATGAGCCCGGCGTTTACTTTGGCCCTTGGTCTCCTGATTATCAGCAGCGCACTGCTTGTCGGTATTGAGACCCAGGTTTTTTCGAGTCTATCCTACCAAGCGTCCGACTCGACTGAGGTGAGAATAGTTTTCTCTACGTTGAATTACGTGGTAACTTTCCTGTTCACGGTGGAGATGGCGGCACGACTTTACGTGTATAGGCATGATTTCTTCTTCACCGAACGGTGGTGGAACCTCTTTGACCTTGCCATCCTTCTGCTGGCGCTCTGCGAGGTTGCTCTAGAGCTCGCCGTGTCCTGGTTTCCAGGATTGGCTAACAGCGTCTTCGACAATGGTGGAGCAGCGAAGATGATGCGCCTCATTCGCCTCACTCGGCTCCTTCGCCTTGTCCGCACGTTCCGCCAGTTGAAGCCTCTGCGGATGTTGGTGCGTTCTATAATGGCCGCTGGGAAGTCTGTTTTTTGGGCACTCCTGTTGCTCATCATGATCATGTTTACCTTTGGAGTAATTTTGACGCAGGCTGTGACAGAGCATACTGCAGGTGGCACGCGAATCGAGGACGAGAGTCTGATCCAGTTCTACGGAGATCTCTATCGGACAATTGTGAGCCTTTGGATGGCTGTCTCCGGGGGTATCAGTTGGATTGAGCTCACCATGCCGTTGGAAAGGACTGGAAACAGTATCTGGACGCTAATGTTTCTGGTATACATACTCATTGTATATTTCTTCATACTCAACGTATCCAGCTGCCTGCGGCAAACCCCGCCACCGTGGCAGCGCAGGGCGGTTGAGTTAAAGAGCCCTCGCTACAATTCAGAGCGCGGTCTGAACTCGAGTGGGTCTGAAACTCGACCTCGTTCTCTCGACTCCTGGTGGCCTCTGAGGGGCCTCTCGGGAGCCTCCTGCAGGGCCTCTTGGGGTCTCGTGGGGGCTTCTTGGGCCATCTTGGGGCCCGTCTGACGACTTCGAAGGCCGTTTGGGAGGCAACTTAGGGCGATTTCGGGCCGTCATTGAGGCATCTACGGTCGTCTTGAGGCCCTCTCGGAACTTTCTCGAGGTGCCTTTGGGCCGTCGTGGAGGGCTCTTGGGCCGTCTTGGAGGCCTCTGGGGCACTCTTGGGCTACCGGAAGCCCGAAAAGGCGGGAACGTGAACACCATGAAACAAACGTGCGGGGGGTAAATTGCCTAGGCTTCTTCGGGCCTCTTGGCAGGCGTCTTGGGGCTCTCTTGGGCCGCAGCGGGATGTCTTGAGAGCCTCGGTGGGCTATCCCTGTGCCCTTTTGAAGCGCTTTCGGGCCGTCTTGGAGGTCGCTTGGGCCGTCTTGGGGCCCGTCTTGGACACATCTGGAACCGTCTTGGGCTGCCCGAAGTCCGAAAAGGCTGGATCGCGAAAACCATTGAAGCGCATCATAGAGGGCATCAGCGATGTCGGCTTCTTCGTGCCTCCTGGAGAATATTTTGAATCCCTCTTGGGCTGTGTTGGTGGCTCCTGGGGCGTCTTGGGGCAATCTGGGGCTTTCTCCGAGACACCTTGAACCAGCTTACAGGCATCTTGGGGCCATCTTGGGTCCGCCTGGTTGTCTTGGCGCCGTCTGGAGGCCAAACCGAGCGCCGGAACTCACCCCCTGGGGGATGTTTTTTCACGGGCGGTTGCTGCACAGATATGGGATCTCCCTTAGACCTTTCTCGGCAGCAGAGGGGTATTCTAACACGCCCCAGCGTGCGGAGGGCACGGTGATGGAGTGACAGGCGTGTTTTGTCAGAATGCGATCGAAGGGGCTGCACAAGATTTGGATCTTACCCTCGAAGCTCAGGTCAGGGAGAAGCAGGTGCACGTTGAGCGCCTGGCATTGCTGTTCCATGAGCTGAACGATGACACCGAAGATAGGGACATGGAGCTATCACTGGACGAGCTCCAGGTTCTGCTTGGCAAGCAAAAAGTGCAATCCTGGTTCCGATCGCTAGACATTGACGCAACGCAGACGTGGAAACTATTCAAGATCATCGACGCGGATGACTCAGGCACTGTCTCCCTCGAAGAGTTCGTTGGAGGGTGTTTGCAGCTGAGGGGGCCGGCTACGCGCGTCGACGTGGAGTCGTTGAAGTGGGAGATTAGGCACGCAGAGCAGGAGCGGACCAAATTGTTGAGCAAGTCCATGACCAGCGAGAAATTGGATACCAAGAGGAATAGCTCCGAGACGATTACGAGTGCGACGTTTGAGTAAAGCTCTAGCAGGCACGCCTGTTGTATGTGTATGTGTATGTGTATGTGTATGTGTGTGTGTGTATATATATATATATATATATATATATATATATATACCGGGGAACGGGACCTGGGGCCGCCAGATTGGTGCCTCGGACCCCCATGGGGGCCACGGGGCTCCAGGACGCTCCCGGGGGCCCGAACCTCGACCACAAATGTGGAGCCCGGGGCCCGGGCCGCCTCTGAGAGGGCTGAAATCGCCGTCGGAAGCCCTCAGACAGCCGTCCCAGCAGCCCTGGACGTTCTCGAGAAGTTCCCAAGACGCTTCAAGATGCCGCCCTAGAGCGGCCCGAGAGGCCAAAATCGTTGATTTTATTTTGTTTTTTTCCAGTTTTTTCGCTTTCTCCCTGTTTCGGCTTTCCGACGCTCCACGACGGCCCCAGAGGCTCCCAAGACCGTTCCAAGAAGGCCCCAGAGGCTCCCAAGAGAGCCCCCAGACGGCCTAAGAGAGACGCAGGAAGGCTCCAGGAGCTCTCGGACAGCTGTCCCAGTGTCCCCAGACGGTTTCGAGACGCTCCGAAGACCGCCTCCAGGTGTCTCCAGCGGCTCGCGATGCGTCTGAAGCTGCCGAGGACGTCCCCCAAGACGCGCCAAGAGGCTTGAAGATGCCGCCGAGGAGCGGCCCGAGAGGCCGAAATCGTTGATTTCCATGTGTTTTTTCATATGTTTTTGGCTTCCTCGCTGTTTCGGCTTTCCGACGCTCCTAGACCGGCCCAGGACTCCCCAGACTGCTTCCAGACAGGCCAAGACACCCCCAAGAGAGGCCGAAGACGGCCCAAGAGAGCTCAAGAGTGTCTCCAGGCCCGCCCAAGACAGCCCAAGAGAGCTCCAAGAAAGTGCCAACAGCGGCCCAAGAGAGGGAACACGCACCGAACAGTCGAGCTCTCCCCTCCAAGATGCTCCCAGGAAGCCCTCAGAGTCCCCGAAGACAGCCCAGAAGGCTACCAAGAGGCCCAGAAGAGGCCTCCAGAGGCTCCAAAACGGCTTCCGAGAGGCTTCACAAACAGGTCCCCCAAACATGCTCCAGAAACGCGCTGCCGGAGCACGCTGCCGCATCTCCTTCCAGCGTTCGGTCTCGCGTGTCCGAGAGCCTCTGTCGTCCGGCCCCGTCGCCGTCCGCGCAGCCATCTGGGCTTTCTGGCGCCACATATATATATATATATATATATATATACATACATACATACATACATACATACATACATACATACATACATACATACATACATACATACATACATACATACATACATACATACATATATATATATATATATATATATATCCTGTGGGGGCAGGCCCGGGGCCCGAAAACAACTGCCTCGACCCTCCATGGGGGCACCAGGGTTCATGTTCCCTGTGTTTTTAAAGGGTTTCCGCGTCCTGGGCCTCGGAGGCCGCCGCCTCCGACCCCCCATGGGAGGACGGGGCGGCTGGGGAGGTCCAAAACAGTCCAGGAGGGCCTCCAGAGGCTTCCAAGACGGCCCAAGCGGGCCCCGAGTCGCCGAAAGACCGCTCCAGGACGCCCAAGATGGCCCAAGACGGCCCGAGAGGCCCCCCAAGGCATTCCACGACGCTTCAAGACGCCTCTCCAGAGCGCTTCAAGAGGCCGAAATCGTCAATTTTACGAAAGGTTTCCAACGATTTTGGCCTTCCAGCCTTTTCGGCTGTCCGACATTCCAAGACGGCTCAATCGGCCCCCAAGAGCGCCCCAAGACGACCCAAGAGGGCCCCAAGACGGCCCCAGAGTCGCCCAAGACAGCCCAACAGAGCTCCAAGACGGCCTCAAGATGCGCCCAAGAGGGTGACCACGACTCCAAAATTCGACCCTCCCGCTTGAAGAGTGCCCCAGGAGGCCCCAAGGAGCCCCCAAGAGGCCCCAGGACGCCCCCAAGAGGCACCCAGGAGGCCCAAACGAGGCCTAAAGAGGCCACAAAACAGCCCCGAGGAGGCCCCACAACGGTCCCAAAACGGCTACCGAGAAGCTGCGAAATTGCCTTCACGACGTCCCCGACAGGCCAACCACGAGATCCAAACCAACACCCATGAGGCCTTTGACCCACCACCCAGGGCACTGTGGCGGGAGCAGTGACAGCACTTGTGCACAACATTTTCCGGCGGGAGCCTTCCGGAACACGCTGCAGGAGGAGGAAGATCAGGAGTAGAGAGAACTGGAGTGGGAGGCGGAGGAGGGGGACGAGGAGGAGGAAGAGGCCTCCAAGACAGCTCCAAGATAGCCGAAGAGGCTTCCAAGAGGGCCCTGGGCGGCCCACGAGGGCCCCAAGGCGGTGCCTGAGGCGCCCAAGACGGCCCGAGAGGGCCCCAAGACGGCCCCAAGAGAGGCCCAAGAAGGGAAACACGAACCGAGAGTCCGAGCTTTCTACCCCGAGAGGTTTTCGGGAAGTCCCACGAGGCCCCCAATCGGATCCAAGAGGCCCCCAAGAAGCTCCCAAGAGGGCCGACGAGGTTCCAAGAGATCCCCCAAGGTGGCCCCAAGAGGCACAACTCAGTGTTTTTACGATTGGGCTTTGACGGGTTTTAATTGTTTCGGCCTTTTGGCATCCCAATGCTCCATGACGGCCCAAGAGGCTTCCAATGCCGCTCCCATATAGAGGAAGGGGCCTCCAAGAGGGCCCCAAGACGGCCCGCGAGGGCCCCAAGACGGTGCTTGAGGCGCCCAAGACGGCCCGAGAGGGCCCCAAGAGCCCCAAGAGAGGCCCAAGAAGGGGAACGCGACCCAACAGCAGAGCGTTCCCCCCAAAAGGCCCACAGGAGGCCGCAAGAGGCCCCCAAGTGGTCCGACGAGGACCCCAAAAACTTCCTGAGGGCCCCAAAGGCCCCTAGGAGACGTCCAAGAGGTTTTAAAATAGCCCAAGAGTGCCCTGGATGCGTCAAAACTGCTTCCAGGAGGCCCCCGGGATGCTTCCGGATTGCCTCAATATGGCCGCAGGTGGCCTCAAGTCGGGCCTCCACGCAGCCAAGACGGCCAATGACGGCTTCAGATTGCAGAACCGATGCCCCCAAGGGACCCTCAGACGCCCCCCCCCAAGAGGCACCCAAGAGGGGCCTCCAACAGCTAGTTGACGAAGCATGCGGAACACCCCAGAAGCTCAGATGCCGTCGCGCGCCTGTGCTTGATAGCGTTGTCCAAGATCGTCCAGCGCCCCCCCAGCCTGGGCTAGAACCTGAGCGCGCGCGAAGCGCGCGATGGTTCTAGCCCAGGCCGGAGCTTTGGGTGCCCGGTTGTCCACTGAAGTCTTCATTAGGCACCGAACGCTGGAAAGAGAGGCGGCAGCGTGCTCCGGTAGCGCGTTTCTGGAGCATGTTTGGGGGACTTCGGTAGGCAGTTTTGAAGCCTCTCGGAAGCCGTTTTGGGGCCTCTTGAAGCCTTCTGGGCTGTCTTCGGGGCCTCTGGGGGCTTCCTGGGGGCATCTTGGGGCGGAGAGCTCGACTGTTCGGTGCGTGTTCCCTCTCTTGGGCCGCTCTTGGCGCCTTCTTGGGGCTCTCCTGGGCTGTCTTGGGCGGGCCTGGGGACAGTCTTAAGGCTCTCTTGGGCCGTCTTCGGCATATCTTGGGGGTCTCTTGGGCTGTCTTGGAGCGGTCTGGGGAGCCTCTGGGCCGGTCTAGGAGCGTCGGAAAGCCGAAAGAGCGAGGAAGCAAAAAACATATAAAAAAACAAATGAAAATCAACTATTTTCGCCTCTCTGGCCGCTCGTCGGCGGCATCTTCACGCCTCTTGCAGCGTCTTGGTGGACGTCCTCGGCAGCTTAAGACGCATCGTGGGCCCCTGGAGACACCTGCAGGCGGTCTTGGGAGCGTCTCGAGAACGTCTGGCTCCTGCGGCCTTCTACGGGCCCTCTTCGGCCGTCTTGGGCGGGTCTGGGGGCAGTCTTGGGGTTCTCTTGGGCCGTCTAGGAGCTCTGTTGGAGGCTCCTGGGCCGTCTTGGAGCGGTCTAGGGAGCCTCTGCAGCGGTCTTGGAGCGTCAGGAAATCAACACAGCGAGGAAGCAAAAACATTGAACATACTCATGAAAATCAGCGATTTTCGCCTCTCTGGCCGCTCGTCGGCGGCATCTTCACGCCTCTTGGGGCGTCTTGGGGGACGTCCTCGGCAGCTTAAGACGCATCGCGGGCCGCTGGAGACACCCGGAGGCGGTCTTCGGAGCGTCTCGAGACCGTCTGGGGCCGCCGGGACGGTGTCCGAGGGCTCCTGGGGCCTTCTTGGGCTCTCTTGGGCCGTCTTGGGCGAGTCTGGGGGCAGTCTTGGGGCTCTCTTAGGCCGTCTTGGGACTCTCTTGGGGGCCTCTGGGGCCGTCTTCGAGCGGTCTCGGGAGCTTCTTGGGCGGTCTTGGAGCGTCGGAAAGCCGAAACAGGGAGAATGCCAAAAACATAAAATAATGAAAATCATCGATTTGGGCCTCTCGGGCCGCTCTAGGGCGGCATCTTGAAGCGTCTTGGGACGTCTTGGGGGGGCTTCCCGGGTAGTTTACAACGCATCATGGCCGGATGGAGACGCCTGGAGGCGGTCTGGGGAACGTCTCGAGACCGTCCAGGGCTGCCGGGACGGCTGTCTGAGGGCTCCCGACGGCGATTTCAGCCCTCCCAGAGGCGGGCCCCGGCCCCAGGCCCCACATTTGTGGTCGAGGTTCGGGCACCCGGGAGCGTCCTGCAGCCCCGTGGTCCCCATGGGGGTCCGAGGTGCCAATCTGGCGGCCCCAGGTCCCGTTCCCCGGTGTATATATATATATATATATATATATATATATATATATATATATATATACGTGTACATAAATACCGCCCCCCCAGCCCCGGGTCCCACACCTCTCCGCCACATCTCGGGGACGGTCCCGGTACCACCCCCTCCACAGCGCTCCAGGAGGACCCAAGACGCCCCCCAGGAGCCCCCAGAATGCGAAAGGATGGCCCAAGACGCTCCCAAGCAGCCCAAGTCAGCCTTCCGACGGCTCTCGAAGCTCCCAGGTGACCTCCAAGAGACTCCAAGAGAGGTCTGACAGGTG